CAGCTCCTTCAAAATCCACTACCACAAAGGGAATCGTCCCTTTGTATGCTAAGGCTGAAGTCCTCAATTCCACCAGGCTCAAAAGGAAATAAAAAGGGACAATACGGTTGCTGAATGCGTGGGGCTGTTGATGTGCTGTCTGAGTGGAAGGACACTGTTGCCTCAAGGACCACCCTCCGGGGAAGGGAACGTGGGTCTTCATGGTGAGTGCACGCTCTTACACCTTTCAGGTCATTTCTGCAAAATCTCATGTCTCGACGACTGCAGCACACAGTTTTATATAAATGGAAAATGTCCAAAAAACGCAAGATATAAAACAATTGTTCCAATTTCTAATAGTTCTATTGATAACAATATTTCGTTCTGGTACACACACTCTGCTACAGAATTTCCATGCTTGTAATCTAGTTTAGAGCCTGATGCCACCTCCCACACTGGAAAAATTCTAGTCCTCCCCTGAATCCTGAAGCAAGAAAAGCAAGGCAAATTGCAGTCTCATGTCCGCTGCTCCTGTGTTGGTGACCCAGGCTGCATCAAGGTCTTGGGGGCAACTGTGGAAACATGACCCCTAGGGCTGAACATCAGCTCGGCCGCCTGCCCTCAGGCAGTTTGGTTTTGAAGACACTGCCTTAAAAACAGGGTTGCAGTTGCAGGTGGGCAAGTTGTATGCGAGCCGACCAGCAGCAGGGGAATAGAGAGACCACCTGAACCTCATCCTAACTTCACTGCTCACCTGCTGAGGGGACCCCAAAGAGGCTGCTCAGCCTTTCTGAACCTCACTTCCCTCATTTGCAACCCCAGGCTAAATAGACCTGTTCACTGGGCAGTAGGGAGATTTAAATAAATTGGCACACAGAGCCGAGCTCAGTGACTAGCAAAGGCACCGGCCATACATTTCAGCAGGATATAGCCGGGAAACAGCAGCAGGAGGGGACCTGCCCAGGGATGCTTCTCCCTATACCACAGCCCTGCACCAACTCGCCCCAGCCCCCTCCTGCCCTCCTCTCCCACCACCTCCAAAAAGGGAAACCAGAGCTCAGGGATTTGCTTCAGTTCAACGATGATGTGTCGGTGATTCTTTGACATACAGGCACAGCTAATTCTTCAGCTTAATGATAAAGAACATAGTGCTCAGAACACACACAGCTGTGCTCTCTGCTAAACCAGCCCAGCACCCGCAGTGACAAGCCTCAGACCCCTCCACGCTGCTTAATTTCCAGCGCAGCCCACTGTCCACACGCGTCCCTGCACGGGCAGTGTCTGCTCCGCTTCCTCCTCGGTGGACATCGGCTGTCAACCTGGGACCTTTCATTTGTCATTGGGTTTTTCTCTGAAATATCATCACTCTTCTTTCAACTTTAGGTATGCAAACGTTTCATTTTGCAGAAAGTCAACCTGAGGGAACAGTTCTGAGTTTTCTACCCAAATCTGATCAATATATGTTACAAAATATAAAGACTGTTAAGGCTTTGTAAAATCAGAAGAGAAAAAAGAAAATCCAAGAATGCAACTGGCAAGACTTTTAAAAGAATTTTTCAAGCCGCTCACTCCCAGAGGTCTTTAGTTAGTGAAGAGGTTTACAAATTTTATTAAAGATCAGATTTCTTTTAAAAAAAAAAAAAATTCTAGCTGAGTGGTTCCCCTCCTTCTGTTGATGCCCATTGACAGTGCTGTGGATAAATCACTCTCACAGCAGTCTTGCTCTGGGAACCTATTGTTTTCATTTTTTAATTTTGGAGTCACCACCAACCACAAGGGTTAATCAAAGTAATGACTGAAAAAAGTCTTTGCCAGATCTACAAAGCACAGTCTCAGCCCCAAGACCAAATGGTTTCGATTCCCCGCTCCCTGTCCTCCCTCCTGCCCTCCAGATAACTCCGAGGGCGGATAAGCCGGTGCAGGTTAGCAATCGCTGGTGCTCCAGCCTCCCACGGCAATACACGCAAACCGCTCTGCCTGTCTTGGGATGACCTTACCATGGTTCTTACTTCTGTTCTGTGTCACCTTGTTTGAAGGCTTCTTTATTTTATTACCACCCATAGAGCAAACAAAGGTCTAAGAGGTTTCTTCACTGTGGAGTGTCATCACCCACTTCAGTCACCTAGTTACCACGGGATCATTCCTCACTCCTGGGCCGAAAGTCACCAAGACACCCATGGAGGGCTAGCCCGGAGCCAGGGCAGAGGATGTATGTCTCTTACCCAGGAAACTGGGGGTTCCTCCCTCTCTCGTTTTTCTCTCTCTTTCCCCCACCCCACAGCTTTCCAGATATCTTACACCATATCCACTGTGACATTTCCACTGGGGCTTCTCTCTACCAGTCTTCAGTTGTTAATGAAGCCAGTTCCCCTTAACTCTCTCTTAGCTGGTTGTCTCAGTGGACTCAGGCACAACTAGATTCCAACCCAGATCCCAAGGGACTAGCTGAGACCCGAAAAAGGTTGCTCAACCTCTGAGCCTCAGTTTTCTCACCCTGCCATAAGAATGACAAAGGTCCTACTTCCTGGGAGGGGAAATGAGATGTGGGGGTGGAAAGTGTTAATGTAGGGCCCGGCGTGTAGTAAATGCTCAATAAACAGCCCCAGTGGTGGGGGTGGTAGTAGGATCATCCATGCTGTAGACAGTGAGAGCTGAGGGAAAAAATGCCATCTGGTTGAATCCTTTCGTTTCATAATAAGGAAACCAAGGCCCAGAAATTGGAAATAGTTTTCCAAGGGTACTCAGACACGTACAGGCACAGTGGGGGTAGAAGTCCTATCTCCTTACACCCAGCGCTCTCTCTGCTGACCAAGCTGCCTAAGGCCTGTTACTCTGCCTCACTGTTGACAGCCCTGGGGGTCCTACACCAAAGGTCTCAGCAGTAAAACTGCCCAGGTTAGAACGAAGCCAGAGAAAACCTGGTTTGGCTTCACATGCATTTTATATCCAAGGCATCATCTGATCACCGTTACCAACAAAGTTCCTAAGATGGAAATATGGCAAAGTGTTTTCACAGCTCATTTCTCCTCCTGAGAAACAAAGAGTGTAATAAAGACAATTATCATCACCTAAGAAAGGCCACCAAGGTCCAGCTCATGGCTACTCAGACCAGGACGTGCCACTCACAGTCCTGGACGTGCGGCTATTGGAGAGGGACCTGGCCTTTCCTCTCAGACTGGGGAAGTGGCCCCCAACATGCCCTCATTTTCTCTATAGCCAATTAGGGCTCAGTCCTAGTGCAAGTGACCGTCATCCTCGTCAAGTTCCAAACTATTCGGATTTTCAAACAAGACCTTCTCTCAAGACAACAAATTCCAGTGCTGCCCAAGCTATTTGTCCTAAACTTACCCATTAGGAGCTTACAGGACGGGACGTGTCAGGACCATGGTGTTCCTCAGTCCCTACCCCTCACCTGCAGCTCCTCCGCCACCCTGAATCCTGCCCCTTCTCCACCTCCCGCAGTGCCGGGTGACGCAGCAAGCCTTTGCAGGCCTTGTCCGTCAAATGTGAACAACGACCCTCCCGTCAGTATCCTCATCTTACTAATAGAGAACACCAGGTTCTGAGCGGGCACAGCCTTGCCCAGCAAGGAGGAGCCAGGATCTGAACCCAGGACTCTGAGACCCACAAACCCATACTGTGGTTTAATAAAAATACATAGTGGTCTTTGCCCCAGGTTTCTGGTACAGAGCTTCAAAAATCCTTGAAATTTCCTAAGCGATAGGCGTGTCTCTTGTTATTTGTAAAGAGCCCCCCTTTGTGTAACTCATATCTGAGAGTATGCTCCCAAGGTGGCCCATAGATTGCATCAGGGGAGAGGCTGGCCCCGTCAGAAAGCCCAGGCATGTGATTAGGGAGTTGGAATTTCCAGCCCTGATCCCCAAAGAGTAGAGAGAGCTGAAGTGAGTTCAGTGACACAGCCAGTGATCTCATCAAGCATACCTACGAAACGAAAGCCCAGACAAAAACTGCAACAATGAGGCTTGGGGGACTTCCTAGTAGGGGAACATATTGGGGTGCTGGGAGGGTGGAGCACCCCGACTCCAGCAGGACAGCAGCTCCTACACCTGCCACTCCCCCCACCCTGCCCCTGCCCCAGACCATGCTGCCCTGTGTGTCCATTCATCGGGCTGCTCAGCACAGCACATTCCTGAGCTCTGTCAGTCATTCTGTTACAGCAAGTCAGCGAGCCGAAAGGGAGGTCATGGGAACCCTCAAATTCGTAGCCACGTCAGACAGAAGTGTGAGTAGCCTGGGACCTCAGGACTTGCAACCGGTGATGTCTGAGGTGGGGGCAGCCTTGGGGAGCTGAGCCCCTCATTCTGTGGTCTGCCTGCGCTAACTCTGGGCAGTGAACATCAGAACTCACTTGCATGCAGGACACCCAGCTGGCGGCAGAGAATGTGCACTAGAATGGACATGCTCTTCCCGCCTCCAGCCCCTGGAGGAAGGAAGCCCGCCTGTGTCCCTCACCAGCTCCTCTGGTCACATGCCTGTCTTCCCGTACAGTAACCACCGGCACGCCCCTTCTCCAGCTCAGGTGCTTCCCGGCTGTGTTCCACGTGGGACCAGATTGTTAAGAGAGCACCGAGAGGGCCCTTAACCAGGCAGTTTCATTACTGAGGGGCAGACCATCTAGCCTGTTGGGGGTTGAAATACACAGCAAGAAACTCAAAAGGCAGTTATCTGCCAGAATAAAAAGTGTTCTCAAAGCCGGCATAAAGCTTCATGCTCAAACTGGACACTTTGAAACGTCATCAATAATGTGATGGTGTGACTCTCCACGGGGCAGCGTGTGCCCAGGCGAAGGCGCTACAATAAGGGTTTCGCAAAGGTTTGATGAACTCCCGGAGCCTGTTCTCCGTTTGGGAAGTTCAGTTTCCCCCGGCCGGTTCCCTCCCGCCCTCCACATGCTGTTGATCTGGTCGGCAGGCCCTTTAAATCAAGTTTCCCTTTCTTTCATTAAACGAGAGGCCAATAATGGGGGATTTTATGTTCTTTCCACAAATCTGTTGGGAAAACACACAGTTTTATTTAAGACCATTTCTCCTTTTGAAACCCAGCATGTGATCCTCTATCTTGTTCTCCTAAGTCGACACATAAAATTCCCCCCGTCCCTCCTGCCCCCTCGACCTCCTCAACAAAAGTGAGCCGCACGCTCCTCCAACGATAACACTACGTTGCACGTTTACATTTCCAAATTACTTTCACACACGTTGTCCTCTTTCTTTTTCTTTCCAGAGCAGAAAGTTGTTGCCATCTTCCTTTTTAATATGAAAACTTAAGCCTCAAGAAAAAGAGCAAGCATCGGTTAGACATTTATTCTGCATGGGCCTAACTCATTTGCATGTATTTCCCCATTGGGGCCCTTCAACATCCTATGAGACCCGTGCTATTAGTGACCCACTTTACAGATGAGGAGACCGGGCCTCGAAGAAGCCAAAGAGATTCCTCTGGGCCACATAGCAAGTGACCAGCAGAGCCAGGCTCCTCACCCCTGAGTATACAAAGCCACCTCCATGGGCGCCCTGCCTGGGGCTTCCTACCCCCGGGTGTCTGTCAAGGGCATAAGCTCCCAGGCGAGCCCCACCCTGCCTGGTTCCCCTGGGGTAACAACAGATCTTGACCCAATGGCATGAGCAGCAGGAGCCATGTCTCTCTCCAGCTACTCCCCCCTCTCCCAGGCCCCTTCCTACTAACACTCCCCTTGATGAGGTTGATGGGGTTAAAGTCGGTGGGTAGAAAATCCCAGACCCCACTCACTCCGCCGACCCCTGACCACCTCCTCCACCCCAAATCTCTCTCCTGCTTTCATGCCCAGCTCCCTTTTCCTGGCTCTCCTGCAGCGAGGATCACTCCTTCCCCGCCTCCTTCCCCAGCGCCTCCTGGACCCTGAGCTCTAGTCCGCTCTCCCACCCTGGACACTCGGAGCCACAGCACTGCCATCTCTCCAACCACTGCCTCCGCGCGGAGCCTGCGGCTCTCCAGGGAGTCCAGATAAGGCTGGCAATTTATCACAAGTTTGACCTAATTACTGGGTGTGTAGTATGGGCCCAATAAATATTTAATTAAATCATAACCCCACAAATAGGAATAACTCAGGGTTTGAATGAATAAAAAGGATTGAACATGCTTCTACTCATTTAATTCTCCCAAAATGCTAGCGTAGATGGCATTATTATTCCCATGTCGCACTTGGGAGAAGCGGGCTTTAGAGAGGCTAGATGGCTTCCCCAAGGTGACACAACTAGTGGACGGCACAGCTGTGACTGCAGTCGGGGTTCTCACTCCACCCCTTGGCCTGTCTGCGCCAGCAGCTGCCTGTGTGGCCTTACCTGTTGCCCCGCTCTGCCCATCCTCCTGGGCTCTTCTATAAAACAAAGGACCTGCGGAGGTCGCCTCCAAGGCCTACCTCCACTCGGAAACGCTGTGGCCCCGCTAGAGCTCTCCTGCGTGTGACGTGCACTCTGCCAAAAGAAAAAAAAAATCTCAGGGCCGGAGACTCAGATGTTGTGGATAGATGTGACCCACACTGTACTTCCTGCCAATGCACGTAACGTCCATGCAAAGCCGGGGACTGAAATGATGTTCACTGTGATTTGGAGAGGGTGACTGAAGAAAAGATGGAGGGGAAAAAACAAATGTCTCTTCTTGAGGATAATGATGCCTAAGCCTCACTGTATTTCATTTGTGAAAACCATTATGTGTTTTTGGCCCGAGAGCAGCATCTGAGGTTTAAACCGGGACCAGCTTTGAATCGCAGACACAAGCTGCTGGATGGGACTAGCGGTATCCACCCGGGCCCCAGCCCTGCTGCCCCCTGATTTTCCACCCCTGCCTGGGAAGCCCCTTCTCTCCCTGTCCAGAGGCTCTTCCTTTCCCCACATCCCAGCCAGACCGTGGGGCCCAGGATCCCCCAGCAGTCCAGGCCCTCTCCCCACCCGCACCCGGCTCTCCTTCGCCCAGGCTCTGGTGCTAGAGAACCCGGCTGCCCTCATGGTCGCCTCTGCGGCCGGGCAGTCAGGCCTCCCTGAGTGCTCACAGCCGCTCACTCAGCTCCTGAGTCAACCCAGAATCTGCCACGAAGGGGAAACTGCGAGGAGGGACCAGGACCCTCTCCACACCTCAGCCAGCAGTGGAGCAACCCGTGGCTCCTCCTAGAACCAGCGGCAAAGGCAGGGTGGCCTCCGTGGTGAACCGCAGGCGGCAGCGACCCTGGAGGCCGTCTCTGCCACGCCGCGTCTCTGCGTTCGCCCCCAGGAAGCAAGGGTTCCACAGGCAGTGCTTCCTGCGAGGATGCCAACGGCCCTCCCCGAATCCTGCAGACCAGCGGGAGAGGCGGGAATTGGCTTCTCAAGAACATCAACGCTTTGGGCGAGGCCTGAGTAGCAGGCAGGGCAGGGCGCAGGCTCCAATCCCTGCCCCTTCTGCTGCTCTGTGATCCTGGGGTCCTCATCTGCGACACCTGTCAAATTATTTATGCAAAGGGTCATTCTGAGGACCCTGATAAGCGAGTCCATTTACAGCTTGAGAGAGGTGTTACCACCGCTGCGACAACCGTGCAGAGGCTCTTGCCCGGACTGTACTTCCACAGACATGGGTGTCACTGAGTAACAGCAGTGCACCTGTGAGGACTCCACCTGGGGACACTGCATAAGCCACTCTGAACACCGTCTCCCTCTGCCAGTTCTTCCCCTCCTTCCAAAGTCCAGCCTCCACGTCTCACACCGTCGTTGGTGGCCGCTGTTTTTGTGAAAGGCAGACGCACGGCAGGAGGAACGAGACAGAACATAACCATCACTCCCCCGGGCCCCTCGCGCCAGGTGGGACAAAATCCATCTCGTTTTCTCTGTCGTCAACGTCCTACAGACTGACACTGCGACTAATGGTAGCCAAGCAGGGCCTGGACTCATGCCTCCCTCAAGACAGCACCTCCTGTTTCTGAAGAGTCCTTCAGGCTTTATGGCTTCTCTTAGCAGTGAAAGTCCTAACTCACCAGCAAAAAAATATGCTTTATGTTTTGGAGCGTGATTTGCCTCGGGGTCTGGATTTTCCACTATACTTTTTAAGTGAGAATCTGCTCTGGCCAAATCCTCCTCGTTAAAGGCATCTGACCAAATTCGTGTCCCCAGAAGTTTGGGTCTTAGAGGATCATAAAGAAAAATAGACTCAACGTGTAGGATCTGGAAAAGACAGGCCAGGGATTGGCAACCCCCCACCCAGGGCCAGGGGGACACGGAAGTGTGGGGCTGCGACCCCACCCCTAAATGCAGAAGCTCTTCCCTCATCTGCTTCATTCTCTGGGCTTTTTTTTTCTTTAATTTTTGAGTAGTTTTGAGTAAGAGTATTAAACACAGACACACGCTGACTCACTCACTTTAAAATCCCCAACCCAATCCTGCTCTCTCATCTCACAGGTAATAAACAGGCGGGCGTTGGGGCAGGTGTGATGGTCAGCATGGGGGATGGTTAGAATCCAAGGCCCCTTACCCCACGACCAGGGGTGGGTCTGAACACGCACCGCTTCCTGGCTCTGGAAAAGGGCCCCTGCACATCCCAACCCACCAGAACCATCTCGGATCAGGACTCTTCCCCCACAGATTCTTAAAAGTTTGCCAGTGGGGGAAACGGGTCTTCACTATGCAAGTCCTCTATAGACACAGGCACTCCAACATTTTTTCTGTGTGTTCACTTGGAGACTGGAAATCCTTTATTAGATAGAACAGAGAAGGCAAACCAGCTATCTGGGAGCCAGATACTATTTCCAAATGTGTTTATTTGACCTGCACAGTATTATAAATTTTTAAAAGTAAGGAGTTGTCAAACATTTAAAAATAAGTGTTTTTGTGTTTTTTAAAAAAATCAGATTCCAGCTTCTCTTAGAAAAAAAAGATGAGAAAATCTGGCAGCAGTGGGCCCTCATGTTCTCAGGGCAGCACTGGCTGGAGCTGCGAGCTTCGTCCCAAAGAGACGGGCACTGGTTTCACACGCCCCCACGGCTCCCACCCCCCTCTGCCTCACAGCTGGCCCTGCTTTGTGCCACCCGCCACCATAAGCAGGTCTCTTGCTCCCAGAAGCCGACCTTGGAGCAGGAATACTTCCCTCTCCTGCCTCAACTTCCCCACTCCTACCCCTACTCCCATGCAGTTGCCCCAAAAGGAAGCAAATTTCCTCTGGCACCAGGAATATTAGAAACAGCACCCCTGGCCTCAGAGTGTTTTCACTTCTAACAGAGCTGTGCAAAGAAACCATCGTCAAGTAAATAAATGCAGGACTTGCCATCCGTACTGGACCTGTTTGTAAGGCTCAGACCTTCTTCTGGGCCAGATTTTAACAAAGCATGATGGATTTCACATCTAGCGAGCATGTGTTTGTTTTTTTCCCCAGAGAGTAAAATCTCAGGGGGGTAGATTATCCAATAAGGCTCTCCAACACTTATTATCCACACACTCTCACAGACTACCCAGAAGCAATGTTTAATCTGGGCACCCCGTGCCCTACTCGAGTCGGCATATAAAATTAGCCGTCGTGACCCAACGTGCATGAATGGAGCAGACTGGTGTTATCCCTGCGCCTGCTTTTGGTATCGCTGACTTTCCTGCTGTCCTGCTCCCAGCTGCTCACCTGATGAGGGGACATGGCCATAAACAAAATATATACCTGCTCTTCCCTGAAGTCACCTCCGACCACTAAGTCACATAGCATGTGCGGCCCAGGGCAGGTGCTCCCCACCATTGAGGGCCCAGCTCTTCTACACCATTTATTGGATTTTTGTGACTCTATACAAGAAAGAAAATGTGAAATATTTGGCTTTTTGGTTTACTTTAAATTTATTTATCATGGGATTAAAAGCAATACACACTTTTTGATGACATTTTGGAAAATATTAAAAATTATTTTTTTAAAAAATGGGGGAAAAGGTCATCCCTAGTCTAACCATCAGTAAAGAGGCACAGTTAAGATGTGAGGGTGTGTGCACAATGCGTATGGGCAACGTTTGTTGTTTTTCTACAGAATCAAGCTAAACTTCTGAATCCCAGAAGAAGGATTTAGTAGTCAGGCATGCAAGGCTGGGGTGGTATAGGGACTTTCCTCTGCAGGAATAGGATCATTTCCTACAATGCCATGAATTATTGATTGATACCTAAAAGCACCTTACATTTGCCCATTAAATAACCATTGATCAAGCATATGCTCTTTGCCAGGCACTCAGGTACTGCACAAGAGTGGCTAATACCAGGCTGGGCATCTTCCTAGCTAGCCAAAGCCCACAACAGGAGCCCCACCTGCTCAGCCACCCTCACACCTCCCCCTGGTATCTGCAAATGGGGCACTCACAGCGCCTGCTTGGGGAATTGAGCAAATTCTCTCCCAGCACTTAGATCAGGGCTTGCCTCGTGGAGGGAGGTTCTGACTACTATTGTGGGCCTGTCCCCAGAGGCCCTGTCCTTTTCTTATTCTGCCCTTGGGAGCAGCCCTGAATACCGGTTTTGAACAAGATCTGCTTTCCCTGAGGTTTGGGGAAGATTCCACATGGCCTTGGCCCAAAGTTTACCTCTAAGGGAAAGCCCAGGACTCACTCCCCTCCCTTAGTTTCAACAACAAAAACATCCTAAGAGAAATCAAAATATTCCAGAGACTTTCAGGAAACCAGTGAAGAATCCTGGATGTAAAGAAACAGGAGAAGGTGGGAAATGACAAGAGTATTGAGGAAACCCGAAACAGAACTGCTGAGAATGCAAAGCCTGAGTGGGATTATGTGAGATTTTACCTCCTTGGCGCTTTGCTGATTGTCTTTTTTTGAGATGTGGGCTTATATTACTTTCATCTTTAAAATAAAATAAATCAAACAAACAAACAAAAAAAGACCTATCAATTCAAAGTGAATGGAGTAACTATTGTGGCAGTAAGATTTAACTTGTTTTCCATTCGCAACAGTTTGGCATAGAATAGGGACGGGAGCCCTAGTTACCCATACAGAAGCAGGTGCCTGCAAAACTGCACTTGGAGGAATGTCGTCCCGTGCAGCAAATTAAGCCAAGCCAGTTCGAGGCTACAGAAAGCTTTCCACAGACAAGGGCACCCACAGACAGGCTCCAGCTCTATGGGAAGAAATGTTTTTAGCGGTATACAGTAATCATGGCCAGACTACCCGCATTCTGATTGCTTTAAACACATACACCTTTTCCAATGTTAAATCAGCAAATGCAAATGTGAAAATGCCAGCCTGTCCACACCACAGCTCTATAAATGCAAGAAAATTCACAATAGTCATTCTGTGCTAAAATAGGTAAACAGAAGCTTTGCTTTGCTGGTGAGGGCTTAACTGCTAGAATTGCACTGCCCCCTGCCCCAAATCTAATCCTTTGCTTCTCTTCTCCTAGTCACTGGCTCATGAGTGCCAGGGAGAAGCTTGTCTTTTCCTTTGATCTAAGGATGCAGAGTCGAGGGAGTGAGCAGGTGAGGA